TGCTTAACTGCAGAACCTAAATGGTCCTGGATCTGGCTGGTACCTGTGTGGGAAATATCCTGAGAGGGTTTGACCATCTACACAGGCCATGGAATTTTGACCAGTTAAATGGAAAACAGCTAAATGCCAAATAATTACTGGGACCTTGGGCTGTGTTTGTCACAAACTACCCTGCCACCTGCAGCAGAGAGCTAGTGAGCTAGAAAAGACCTAGACAAAATAAGAATTAGACCTAAACTTTTGTCCCAAATGCAAATAGAAACTGTGGAGAGGCCATTCTGATCCCATCATTGTTACTAAGCTGAAGGCATAAAAGGCACCACTGTTTTGCTGTTAACTGTAATTGAGTTCTTGAACATTTTGCTCTGAATCTGGAATAAACCATAACCAAACAGATAGTTTCAGAGCCTGCAGGTCAAGTAACAGGTAGAGAAATACAGCAAGTCTGTTGAAATAGGAAGTCCAAGCCTTCCAGCTGCCAAACAGCAGACAAAAAACCCCTCTTTGTATACCTCCCTTAAACATGCACAAAAATAATCTGCCTGAAAGCACGAACACAGACAGAAGCTTTAGTAGATGTCTTGCGTGCTGAAAACACTGCAATATAATGCACCACAGCATCTCCTGTAAATCTCTCAATACCCTCTCTGCAGGAAACTGCACCCTCAACTCTTAATCACTTTCTACTTTTTCTTTCTATTTTCCCTAGTCCAGGAACCTTGTGTTTCTCTTCCACAAGATGCTGGAGGACCTCAAAAACCACTGCGAAGTGCCTCTTAGTGACGTGACATTAACGCTGGGTCTGGGTAGCACACCATGTGCATCTTTGCATGCCTTCCTTTACAGACCTTCCTCTGTCCTTTGAGAGGAATGTGGGAGCAGTGGAGCATCTAAGCATCACTAACGGACTGCAACTAGAGCAGCAGGAGAGTCCTTTCCTTTTAAAAAATGTTACTGCCTGTACAACGTAGTGGGACCTCAGGGCTGCGTTTATCATAGGTTAACCCTGCCAGCTGCAGTGAGAGTTGTCTAGTGAGAGCTGGAGATATTGTGGATGAAATAAGAAATGGCTCCAAACTTTCGTCCCAAACCACAAAACAGACTTGAAATCTTTCTCTGAGTTTGAGAAACTTTAGGCCATGGATATCTACAGGCTATTTTTAGAGCTGTACATGAGAAAGGAACCAAGGAAAAAAAAAAAAAAACAGCTTCACTAAGATGAAAATAATAGAAAATTCTGACAGTTTAAATGGGATATGTTATGTTCAAAAGTTTCATGTGGACTTAAAATTTACATTCCTAAAAACATATTGGACTAACTAATCTCCGGCAAAATGACTTCCATATAGTAAAGTTAAAATTTGACCAAAACAAAGGCCAATGAGAGTTTTTAAAGATATCCTTAATAGAGCTAGAATTACACTGTGATTTTTCAGGACAAAATAATGAATTGTTCCCTTTTTGTCGTGTTCTGTCAATTCCACTACTGCTAAAATCTCTATAAAATCTCAAAGGACTCTGACTTTCTGATCAAGTATTTGAGGCTTCATGAAGCATTCTGTAGAAAGAATAGCTCTATGAAACATTCTGTAGCTTGACTATACACACATATCACAAACAGGCTGGAACGTAAATTGCAAAATTTTTCCATTAATTTAGTCTGTTCCCCTAGAGAAATATATCGAGGACACATTCATTTCTAGTTCCTGTGAGATTAGGCAAATGTAAATAATGCCAGTTTTTGTTGAAAAGTTTTTCACTCTTTGTCTTGTTCCTAGTTCAATATGGAGATTAACAAAAAAACCAAAAAACCAAACCAAACCAAACCAACAAACAAACAAAAAAAAAGCAAAAAAAAAAAAAAGGCAAAAAACCCCAAACCAACAAACCCACAAAAACCCCAAAAACAAACAAACAAACAAACAAAACCAACAAAAAACCAAGCAAAACTGATAAGGGGTGCTCAGCATTTCCATTTTGGTGGGTTGAGTGTAATTTGTGCCAAGCAACATTTTGAATTCTTTCTCAAACCTAGGCGGTCTGATGCTCTAAATTCTTGCTCACACACACTAAATGCTAACACGCTATTTTGGTTCAATGGGGAATCAGGACACAGGAAGGGTTAAAGACCAACAAAACCCAGACTCCAGAAGAACAACAGGAAAAAACGCTGACCAGAATCTGAGTGAGGGAGAAAATAAATTTGGGACTCTCATCACCTTTTAGCTGTGGGAGAACTTGCTGGAAAATTCAAAGATTCATGTTTTAGCAAAATGCAAGTACTTGCCAGTAAATAAAACACAATCGCACTTCCTCAAGAATACTGCTCATGACTTTCAGTAAAAAACTCCTTGCAAACTACAGGTTCAAAGAGCACTGCATTCTTTCACTATCACCACGGCCTGGCACCAAAATTCACCATAATTCAGAAGATAGATGTGTGTTAAGAGTATGGACTTTGGGCAGACCAAAAGACACGTGCTGTGCAGAAGAACTCCTTTCTCTCCCAATCCCCCCTCTTCCCTCACGTCCCAGCCCAATACTTGGACAGGGTATAATAAGCTACAACTTAAGTTTCTTTGTTGTTGAAGTTGACCTTTATCTTGCAGCCCTAATGAAGTCTTTTGATGTGCTCCTAAGATACACGGCCTCCTTTTTAGCATTCTGTTTGCTGCGCCTGCTTTAACCGGTGGGCTCTTGAAGAACGTAAGTTTTCGTACAATGCCTCCCTTGGGTGCCAATTGTTCTTTTCTCCCATAGTTGCCCTTGAGTCATGCCGTCCTGAAACATCACCAGCCCAGAAGCAGCTTGTCAGTGGGGAATTAGGACAACGTGTCTTTCACACCAATGATGAGCCCACCCGCTTGGCCTCTGCATTGTGATCGCCACTGATAGAAGCAATATGGGAACAGACTGGCTGGGAAAAGATGAGGTTTGTGCAAGATGGGGAGATAATTAGCTAAAACACAATGGGGAGGGAACCACTGATGTGACAGATAATGCAGAATCAAACTGCCACTGGAGCCCTTTGCAGTTCAAGCCACCACTCCTGAAAGCAGCTGCTCTTAGCAAAGGAGTCTGAAAACCCTTCCCAGAAAGCCAGGCATGTGTTCCCTATTACTGATTTGCATTTAAAAAAAAAAAAAAAAAAAAAAAAAAGAGTGATTGGGAGCTACATACCCTGTAGGCGCACTAAGCAAATTGGCCAGCCTAATTATTATTTTTTGCTATGTCTAATTAAATAGACAAAAGGCCCTCCCTTAACTCTCGCTGTCGGCACGAGCTCCACTGGAATGTGCATAATGTCCCCTCATTTGCCCAGGCAGCTGAGCCTTTCCCTTTTCCCCTGGGAGATTGGCGTTGACAGCCGCCCATGGCTTACCCAGTCCTGCTCAGATACAGAGCCAGATCGTGAGACAGGCAGGGAAAAGGGGGAAATTGACCTGGTTCTGCTAAAAACTACCGGACAGTGCTGTACAATGTGACATGCCTTTGTTGCAGGTTAGAAATATACCGTGGCCCTTCTTAGCAGAACTTGCCACCGCGGATCCCATCAGATACTTCTTGCCCAGTGTTGGCCAAATTCCCTCAAATTTTCTTTAAGGGGTGCTCTGAAACTGCAATATTTATCCCTGAGATTTCTGGTGTTTTCCCAGCACTCAGTTTCTCTCCTGCTATGCAATTACATGGCACTGCAGCCCTTCCTTTCAGAGCCTCTCTCGACTTGCCGGTTTCACCACTCCGTAACACCAGCGCTTTAACTACAAGCTACATACAGTCTCCCAATGACTTGAGTCACTGGAGAGTTTCAGCCTCACACTGACACAGCCAAAACCTCTGGAATCCATAGCTTTCAAATGGGAAGAGAACATGTTGTCCTCTCTCTGTGCAGCATTTTACTCCTTTTAAGTAGTTGTTGCTGGAGATTTCCACTAATGCCAGATAAAGATAGTCATCTCACAAATGAGGAAGAGTTTACATTTATGGTGGAAATTGAAAAGTTTTCAGACATCGAAGAGCCACATCATTACTAAATGACAAACCCTACTCCCACACTTATCTGATACATAAGCACTAGAGGTTTTTACTGCATAGATGAGGAAAAGCCTCTCTATTTTTTCCCAAAGAGATAGGGATAGAGAGGAAGGAAACATGTCATTATATATATATGCGTGTATATATATAAATGTACAGATACAAGGGAAAAAAAAAAGCAGATGGTAATTTATCCAGCATAACAGACCATCTCACACTTCCTTAGTGAGCTCTGTGTGTGATCTGACAAACAGGGTCCTATTAGAAGAGTACGGTGAAGTATCACCACATCAGTTCAGGTTGAAAACCTTTTACAGGAAACACCTTATCACTGGTGATCTATTGAACAATCACTTAACAAAGCCTTCCAAATCCACTGTGCAGGATGGAAAAGCAAAAGACCAGCTGCTGATTTCAGCTACACCTGTGCAAATCCTGAATAACTCCCCGGGTCTAAGAGGAGTCTTCAGTTTCCACAACAGGTTTATCCAGATAAGCTGATACAGGTGCAGAAAACTCTGCCAGCTCAGAATTTGCTTTCTCCAAAAGCAGAATTGCTTCAGTGTAAGCAGAAACAGCATGGTCAGAGAAACCATAAAATATCTGCTTTATCTTAACCAAATTAAACACCTCTGCAGCTCAGCACAACGTAGGTCTGAAAAAACCCACATTGCCGTCACTGCTGTTAAACTTTGTTAAGTCAGTGCCTGATGCTTCACTTCTTAACGAGGCAGTTATTTGTTTCTCAGGCAATCGCTGGCACCTGCCTGCCTTTTAAAATCAAATAATAATTGAATATGAGGAAAGTGAGATGAAGTAAAGGAGATTTAATAAAGAGAATCTTTGCTGCGGAGGGAATTTCTTTGGCAGTGATTACGTTACTAATTGATCAGCACATTGCCTGAGAGAAGCCAGAGACAACAATTATACTTAGCAGTGTGGCTGAAAGCAATGCAGTCAACTACCTCCTCGGCTTTCGCTGTCCGCTGGTTTCACCTGGATCGGTCTGTTCATCTGCAAGGAAGAACAAAGAGAAACACGTAATTAATGGAGGAACCAAACTTTCATATGCAGAGTCTCACTTTGTTTTTTTGCCGTACGTCATAATTAGCACCAGAATTTACTCCACAAGGGGGGAAAAAAACAATTAGTAAACATGGAAGCAACCATGGAGCAAAGACTGCTGCTTGTTCTGAGGTAAATAAATCAGTGTCACTCCATTTACCTGACAGTAGCTCTGTTGAATCACACTGGGAGAGGGATCTGACTCATTTCACACAGGTCATGAAATTTTAAACACAACTTTTAAAATTTCTAACAGTTTCTTCTGGAAACACTACTGTGTGAGAATAGAAATGCTTTGTCAGAATAGCAGGATCAGTGAGACTTTAATTGTAAAGATTTCTTGAGATTGGCATGATGAAAATTGAAAAGCAAATTCCACTTCTACTGTTAGCTCAGTAGGATAGTCACCTGTAACATAGCAGACTACATTTGATACTTGGGGAGTGGGATTTAGATCTGATTTGTCTCCATGCTGCAGGAGTGTTGGATGCTGCAGGAGTGTTGGATGCTGCAATTTTTTGACAGAGTAGAGGACAGGATATAAGTCAAAATTTCTCCCTGTGTTGCTTTTTCAGGTATGTTCTTCTTTTCTCACATTAGAATAAATATAAGTACAAAAACCTTGCCACTGTGCTGTGAATAGGATTTCTGTTATCAAAATTATCCCTTGGTCAGTCAACAAAAGCATCAGGGACCATCACTATCCCCAGAGCTGCTCACTCCCAGGAGGGCAACAGATGTCCACAATGGACTTCATTGGCAGTGCTTACATGATGTGGGTGTTTGATAACAGGGGTGAGGATATAACCCTCCTGTCTGTAGCCAGAGATGCAGATTGGATCAGAACCAGCTGAGATTAATCTGTAAGCTCTTCCTCACCTCTTACTCCTTGGCACATAGAGCAGTCCATACACTGTGCACAAGGACTATTCAAAATATCTTTCTATGTGTGGCCATGTCTGAGTGGAATGAAAATATCTTTTAGATTTTTCAACCAACAAAGAAATTACAAGTTCAAACAAGTATCACAAGGAGCAGGAGGTCAGAAGACAATAGGAATCTCCCAACATATGTTTTCCCAAATAAAGTTGGACCGCAAATTGGCTGATGAATGTCATAGGGTGCCTTCAGGGGATGCTATAAATCCCTTATTTGTGGCTAATCACAGTTGGGCAGCAAGGCCATTAGTTTTATTCCTTCCCTCTCCCCTCCCCCCCACCCCAGTTTCCCCTTTTTCTATTTTTTTTTAATTTTTTTTTTTTTGAAAGTAGTTCATAATAACTTAGATTTATTCTAATTGCTCTGCACACATATTTAGTAATAACAAGTTATCAAGCTGGCTGACAAGTAGGTTAAGATGATTAAAAGCCTAGCAGATCCTGCTGCATTGTTGTCTCTAGAGGAAAATGTACTTATCCATAAACTGACTACAGTTAGACTTACACTCTGAAAGAGAAGGATCAGTGGCTCCAGACGCTACTGAACAGTTTCTGCTCTGCTGAAACCAACAGAGAATCTGATACCAGATAAAGCTTGTATCGGCCCCTGCTTCTGCAGCTGTAAAGACCTATCACTCACATAGGTATCACAAGATATTTAGCAGGGTCAGAGGCAATATATTTAGCAGCAGCAGGACAGACATCCTGCCATAGGGCTCCTGTAACATGTGAACAGTTAGCTGTTACAGACATTCAAAGATCTGACATCACACAGATGTGGAGGGTAATTTATGTCATGTAACTCCAAATGTACAAAACCTGTAATTTTAAGCCACTCTTAAAGTGTCTAAAATGAAAAGAATGTACGGTCTTCTGAAGTGCCTGTTCCTCTCTGGTGATCACAAAGGTAGTCTATGCATTTAGGTGACTTTCACCTTTATTGGACTTATGCCAGATGAACCCCATCTTGGCTCTCATGTGCAGGATAATGAAGCCAAATTGCCCCATTACGTCCCTCAGCTACTCAAACTCTGTGACTGGTTTGTGTTTGTAGCAGGTTGGTCTTGACACCACCCGCATAACAAGGTCCGACTTTTGACACTTGCACTCTTGCTATGTATTCTGGCTTCCAAATCTGGTCCTGATAGCTAATCTAACTCCTGTGGTCAGAGGATGGTGGTCAGAGGCCCCTGGTGCTCACTCAACAACAGCCGGAACCTGCATCCCGAGCAGTCAGCAAGAGAAACAGTCACGGTAGACAGGAATTTATAGGAGATGTGCAGCATGCAGCCCTTGAGAGGCAAGGTCTGGAATCCAAAATGGACACAGCCTTGTGATGCAGAACACCCCATAAATCTACCAGCATAGGTACTGATCTGAAGCACGTTAAAGTCTATGAAAATCCCCACTGCACTTGAGTAGGCTTTGGAGCCAGCCTTTAGGAAAACCAGACAGAGCTCTTCCTACTTGTTGAGTTGGATGTGATCAGCTTGCAAAAGGCAGAGAAGATCATCAGACTTTTAGGAGAAGTTAAAGGAGATAATATTTTGGGGGTGGGGGTGGAGGTGTTTGATTGTTTTTGGTTTGGTTTGGTTTGGTTTTTTTGGGTTTCCTTTGGATTGGAGCATGAGAAAAAGATGACAATCCCCAAGAAAGTGAAAAAAAAAAAAAAAGAGGAGGGGAATGAACATCCAACAGAGGAAGTAAAAACTGGGGGAATTAATAAGTAAAAGCCTAGTGTAATTTAATGTACACTATGATTTATACACTTGACAATTTCTTTACAGACCAAAGAGAAAGTGCTGCCTGCACAGAGCCCATAATACAAATTGAGATCATCTTGACATGAAAGACACCAATTATAGGGAGAAACACTGAGAGAAAAATAATTAAGTTTCCTCTCTCCATCTATGGAATTTTTTTTTTTTTTTTTTTTTTTTTTTAACACAGACACTCTTGGAGCAAGGAGCTGTCATGGGGACCATAAAAGGGCTACATGGGGAAATAAAATGGTAGAAAGATGTAGCTTTCCCAGTGTGGGGAAATGCCTTCGTGGGGAGAAGGGAATTTAGAGATTCAAACCACCTGCTTATTCTTCACCTGGGAATTGCCATGGGTTTAATGAAATGAAACCAAAGTTTATACTCCAAAATGCAGTCTTCTGTAGAGTGTTTGGGGTAATACTGATATGGACATCTTTAATATCTGTCCTGTCATGGTGTACCCTGTGAGTATGATAGAAGAAATGAGGCAGCAAGTCTGATTAATACCATGGAAATCCAGATGGGATCATAGAAATTACAGATGTGGCTGTGAGGCTTTTACTGAACCCTGTCTCTAGAAGAGAGGTTTGGCAACATGAGAAAAGGCCTGGGCAGGCTGACCCAGCATCTGATCTGACAGATGGAGTGGATGTAATCTGCTGGGCTTTCCTCTAGGATGTGCTACACTTCTGTCCATTCAGTGATCCTTCTCTCCTCTGCCCGTGGATCCTCTGTGCTCTCCTTTGAAATATGATCATGGTTCCTTATTCTTTATTATTCCTATTGGGCTGCCACTGCAGAAGAAGTATACTGTTTTACCATTAGTTAACCCAGAAAGTGTTTATCTCCTTTTTAGCCTCTCTCCCAACCTTTAGAACCTAAGTTTTTTATTCTCTACATAATATGAAGATGCCTGACTTTAGGGAACCAGAATGCTCAATAGGTATGAAACCATTACAAATCAGGACAATGTTTATCCTCATTCATTTTTCAGAGTCCTGTTTAGTCAAAAATTTGCTTTGAATTGCCTCACTCAACAGCGGTTTTGTAGCAAAGATGGGCTGAAAGCCACTGGGGCCCAAAGAGATTTAGGCAATGCCAAAAAAATTGATTTAGGTGTCTGGTTACACATGACAGACCCAGTTTTCCAAAAGGTGGCAAGCAGGTGGCAAAACAGGGATTTATTCACAATTGTGTTCCCAATGTGGACTCAGGAAAAGCCTGAGTTACTCATATTCCACATCTGTACCAGCAATTACAGGCAGTGGGCACCACTGCAGTTGTGAATCAGTCTCTTTCAGGAAGGAGTGTTGTAAGTCCTTTTCCCAGAAGTGCCATAAATGTTTGGGTTTATGGAGAAGTTAGAACTTCACGTGCATCACACTTCTCAGTTTTCTTTGATTCTTTGCAACCTCATCTCTGCTGAAAACCACCTTTACTATCACCTTTGCACACCTTGGACAAGATGATCCTACTTGTTACACTTCATACCCTTCAATTTGGCTTTTTCTTCCTTTTTTTTTTTTTTTCCCCCTAAAACCAACCCATTCAAATTATGCCAGATATCACCATCTCACACCAAATTGCCACTGCCCCACCTACCCCCACTCCAATTCTCCCAGCAAGTAGAAACACAACATCATTTTTCATGTCCAATTACAGCCACTATGGTGCCACTGTTAAAAGACAGCGCAGGTACTCCTGTCAAAAAGGGTTTGAGTTACAAGAAGCGATGAATTATAGCAAGCCCTTTTTCAATTCTCCACAGAAATGAAATGTCAGAGCTTGCTGCTGTATTTTTCTCAGCACCATCAGCTACAGGCCACTGCAGGAATTAGACAGGGGACAGACGCTTTTCTGCATCATGATTTTTCTTTTCCTAAGGTTGTCGTTTTCTCCCCCACCAACTCTCTTCTTCTCCCTCTGGCTTTGATATTAATTTAGAGCAGGTAGAAGGATCACCTGGGAAAGAAGAGTGTGAAACAGAGACAGCTGATTTCTCACTGTTTCCATCTTTCTTCTTTTCACTGTTCCTACTACCCTTTTCTTTCTTTTCTCACTCAGTTTTTCATTGCTTATCAATATATCTAGTGTTTCTAGCTAGGACTAAGACTCTACCAGGCTTGGGAATGGACAAATGCAGAGATTAAAAAAATAAGAAGAAATGGAAAAAAAATCAAAAAGCATGGAGATACACTGAATAGCTTAAAATGTGATCTGAGATGGGAAGGAAAGGTGAGGAGATAAG